GCCAAAGGGGCAAAGCCTACGGTCAGTATCGAAATGTGAGTAATCCTATAATGGTCCTTGGTATGGTAGCTATATTTTTGTAAAATTTAAGCCCAGTTGGTTTAGTAGTTTTTGCACCTATTAGTATCACACATACAGACAGACACCATTAGATTTTTATATAATAGTATAGATTAGTAAGATAAATGCTAAGGAGTATACTTCTTCTTCTAGTACACCCTTTATAAATAAATTTTGGGACTGAAATAAGATTTAGTATATGTCTATTCTAGTATATTGTTTTATTATGAAATATTTAATTATAAATGTTAAATAATAAAAAATAATAATCATATTAATAAATTAATAATAATTAATTAAATAATAATAATAAATAAATGTTAAAATGCATAATGTTGGAAGTATCAAAAGTAAAAAAAAAAACAAAAAAAAAACAGCAAAATCATTTATGTTACTTTAGTGTCAATGAGGGATATCATGTGTAAACATAAAATTATAATACAAAAGGTGTACATTTTATATATAAAACTTTGCGTCTCGATTATCTTATCACGGAATCGCATTACACTAACTAACAATGTCTTGTAGTCTATCACGAACAGATATAGACATTTCCTTGTCATTTATCTTAAGGAAATATTAAGAACAGTTTTCGAAGTTTATTCCACAAAAACGAAAGCTTGTAAGGCTCGCTAGTTCAAAACCTAGTATCCATTCGGTGCTACGAAAACAAAAGGTAAAACTTCTTAATGCTACTAGTTGGATATTAATTCCCAGAAATATATTTAAACCCTCGTAGCAAACCTGAAGAACCGTAAAATTGCCTAAATCGTTTTTCGCTTAAATAATTTATGAAGAGTTTTTTATTTATTAAAATTGCTTAGGGTTTAGGAAGTAGTTAGGTTTGCTGCTATGGGGATGGTGGTTAAGTGTCATTTAGAGTGGAATTCTCAGTACAGAATAAATACATTTGAAACTGAATAAATACTTTTTATCCTTAGGAACTTTGCGTGAATTTTCTTTATAACTTTTTAACTTACAATACGGTTATACCTTGGCATTGCTTAAGGTCTTCAATGTTTTTCACAAGAAATTGCAAAATTTGATGTTTCGAGGGTCGTAAATGGGAAACTCTTAACACTGTAAACGCTTGTTTTTATCAACTATTTTTTCTTTTAACAGTCTGGTCTTGTCGGTTTGCTGAACCGTTCAAATAAACCTAGGTTTATATTTTTTTTACAGGTTTTCACAGAAATTCGTGAAAATCATGCTAACGGGCAGATTTTATTGCAATATGCTAATTTTATATAAATATTTTTGAAGATATATTTTATCAGTAAGTTTACACACAGATCTTTGTAGTGCTAAAGAAAAACAGAACGATGTATTTAGCTGTTGTGGTTATAAATATGTTCTAGGGGATTTCCTGAACACGGCAAACATGAGTAAAACGTGAGAGCAAAAGGCACTCGGTGAAAGTTCAAGGTGAAAAATCGAGGACTGAAAAACTTGACTGTTTGGTGTTACACAAGCTAAGCTTAAACTAGATACAGGTGTGGGGTTCATTACCTACCAGCTAGTTATGTACGAATAATGAACATATCTCAGGTAAAAAGTGGTTCTTATGTGCTCTCAGCCTGGGGATGTATACAATTCAAAATCAAACAACTAGGGCATGTGATGTTGTAATATACAGCCGTTACAGGTGTGACTGCAGATGTGGATTCTGCTGTAGTGAATGTCGAACATGAACTGCCAACGGTGAGACCAAACGATTGTGTAAACTTGGGACCCATTAAGAAAGTCTCATCAAATTCTCGAATTTGGAGGACGATGATTATACTACCTGTAAGACAATGTTTGAAGGATAGGGACAGTTTCCAAACACTCATAACGTGTAGCTTAACGAGGGTACTATCCCACCAATTCGACAATCATGGAGTGTATCTTGAAAAAGGAAAAGTTGATCACTTAAGGGAACTGGGCTGAATTGGAAGGTCAACAAACCTACAGCATGGGCAAATCCTATAGGGATCGTGAAACACTTGGTAAATCTGCATATATAATACCATTAAACAAGGTCGAGATGAGATATATTTTTTTAAAGTCACAACCTAATGATATTCTGGTAACATTCAGAGGTTACGAATACTGTTTCGCATGTAACTAATGGGGATTTCATAGTTTCAATCGAGAAGAGCCGCGTGCACAGTCAGTACCTACCCTATACATGACACCATGTTTTAGTTTGGCATTATTAGAAAAAAGTCTTAAACATATATTGAGAATTATAATGACTGTAACAACTCAAGACACAGGACCAAAACTTAACCAAGCTGGGCGTGGGTATATGCTTACTTTTGTTAACCGTTTATTTAACATCTTATTTGATAAAACGAGAAGGGTTTTGTGCTTCAAGGTAGATACCTTAATCTAATCGTCATAAACAGTTCCCACATTCCGGAATGCTCGCTTTTTCTACTTCCTTCACCACTTCCTACGTCGCGAGCCTGTTTCCCTCCCTTCCAATAACATTTATGGATTGCAGATACCTTGATTTAATCGTCATAAACAGTTCCCACACTCCGGACTGCTCGACTTTTCTACTTCCTTCACCACTTCCTACGTCGCGGACCTGTTTTCCTCCCTTCCAATAACATTTTTGGATTGCAGATACCTCATTCTAATCGTCATAAACAGTTCCCACACTCCGGACTGCTCGTCTTTTCTACTTCCTTCACCACTTCCTGCGTCGCGGACTTGTTTCCCTCCCTTCCCATAACATTTTTGGATTGCAGATACCTTGATCTAATCGTCATAAACAGTTCCCACACTCCTTTACTTCTTTACTTCTTTACCTTCTTTACTTCTTCCTTTACCACTTCCTACGTCGCGGACCTGTTTCCCTTCCTTGCCATAACATTTTTGGATTTCAGATACCTTAATATAATCGTCATAAACAGTTCCCCTACTCCGGACTGCTCGCCCTTACTACTTCCTTCATCACTTCCTACGTTGCGGAACTGTATCCCTCCTTTTCCATAGCATTTTAGGATTGTTTATACCTTAATCTAATCGTCATAAACAATTCCCACACTCCGGACTGCTCGCCTTTACTACTTCCTTCACTACTTCCTCCGTCGCGGACCTGTTTCCCTCCCTTCAAATAACATTTTTGGATTGCAGATACCTTAATCTAATCGTCATAAACAGTTCCCACACTCCGGACTGCACGCCTCTACTACTTCCTTCGGCACTTCCTATGTCGCAGACCTGTTTCCCTCCCTTCCCATAGCATTTTAGGATTGTAGATACCTTAATCTAATCATTATAAACATTTCCAACACTCCGGACTGCTCGCCTTTCCTACTTCCTTCATCACTTCCTACGTCGCGGACCTTTTTCCCTCCCTTCCCATTGCATTTTAGGATTGTAGTCACCCTAATCTTATCGTCATAAACAGTTCCCCACACCAGAATGCTCACCTTTACTACTTCCGTCATCACTTCCTACGTCACGGACCTGTTTCCCTCCCTTCCCATAACATTTTAGGATTGTAGATACCTTAATCTAATCGTCATAAACAGTTCCCACATTCCGGACTGCTCGCCTTTACTACTTCCTTCATCACTTCCTACATCGCGGACCTGTTTCCTTCCCTTCCCAAAGCATTTAAGGATTGCAGATACCATCATACCATAATCTAATCGTCATAAACAGATCCCACACTCCACACTTCTACCCTTGACTAAAATGTATCGAGTAATCTTTAGTATAATCTTTGCTGAATAGTAACAACTGATGTTTTTTCTTTTGTACTGTATTTTGTTTTGCTAGTATACTGTGGATAGATAACTTACAAGTCTTTTGTTTACTTTTTCCTTGTTATTTAATTCAGTCAAGATGGTTACTTAGCAACCCATAAGAATAATGTTAAAAAACTGTGACTTTCAGTTTCATTTTTCTACGTAATTAGATTTTTGTTGGCAGTTCTAACCGCAGTAAACTCGTTTTTAGGCCAGAAATAAACTATTTACAACATTTGAAGGAAATCGTCGGAGCCGTTTTCGAGATATTTCTGCAAGCAAGCAACCAAGCAATTAAGCTTACATACATACAAGCAAACATTGCTCGTATTGGAGTATAGGATTTGGTACAATGTTGCTTTGCATCACTGTCAGTGGCAATGAGAGGTTATAAACGAAAACATAACCTCTCTTAGAAGTTATGAGTAGTGATTTTTAGTAATTAAAACATTGTTGTTGGTAAAGTAGTGTACGCAGCTCGCGTAAATAGTGTTAATGACACTCGTAGAAGTTTGTGAGGCAGCGCAAAGGCTCCTACCTTAATTTTTCTACTCATGTCGAAAATATAAAAAAAATTATAAACATAGGTTAGAGGTCTACGTTTATCAGAATAAATACTTACACCCTCAGTCACCCTCTCAGTTTTACTATATTCACGCAATCGTTGCGTAAACTACTATAACAGCAAACTTTTGTTGTAACTGTAACCCAATGGCTGTGCATCACCATCAGTTTCAGCATATTTGGGACAAATTCTCCATATAGGTTAATTTTATGAATACATACTAAAAATATGATGGTAATTTATTCATCCTATATACAAGCGCTCCCATCCTGCCTGAAGATTTTGTAAAAGGTTGTGAATTTGTTTATACACTAATTATTTCATTGTTTAGGAAATTACGTCGTGCACTACAAATTACTTGTTACTACAGCTACTTTCTTAAAAATACTTCTGAGAAATATCATTTTCTAACGCAAACTCCTTTGCAAAGTCCAAGCTATCAATTAAGGAATTAACATTTCACAAAAATTTTATATATATTTGTGATAGTATCTAATAATCATATTATTCGGGAGATTTCCTCAATACTTTACACAGCATGTGCATGTGTTTGTACAGCATGTGCTGTATCCCAATTATCTATCATCCACACGGGCTACATAGTTCTGCACTTGTTATTCAATTCTGAACTCTCTTACAGTACAGTAGCTACCTTGCACATCTATGATTCTCTCTAGTGTTCTTGTACCGGTTAGTATTAAGAATATAAAGAAGTTATATTTATTATAACAATGTAATCATAGTTTTTACATTAGAACTTTATTTACTATGACCTTTAAGTTAATATTTCAACAATTGTTTCTAAAATCCAATAACTTTATTATTATGAAACTTAAATGTAGTTGAAAAAAGTAAGAAAATAATCATCCTATTTTATTGCACATAATTTTTAATTTTATTATTTGCATTTAATTATTCATGTCTTTTCATTAAATATAGTAGACTACGGTTTAAAGTATATCACAAGAATTTAAACTTATCATGTTTAATTTCAGTTTCTCATCTTCCAAGGAATTTTGGCAGTGAAGAATGATGGTAAAGTTTTCCTACTATATTTCTTATAATACCTTTTAAGATTTGCCTCTATATTATTCTAAAGTATATTTAATATTATTAGTAAAGATTGGAATATAATTTAATTTACAGGATGACTCTAAATCTAGTATTTGATAGTACATAATATAGTTATGCATGTGGAGATTTTATAAAAGTTAAAATACTTGAATTACAACTGAGGTTTAGAACTGAATTATACGAAATATAGAATAAATCCACTGTCATTAAATAAATTAAATTTTATCTAACAAAAGTCTAAAAGGGTAATTGAGCTCAAATAATTATTAATTATTTGATTTCCCTTATAAGTCCATTGATAGTGATAAAAATATACAAGCCCGCATTACGCTATCTTTAACGGTGCAGACAGAATACTCCTAAATATATAATGTATACAGTCCCTATGTATGTAAATTGACTTTGATTATAGATAAAGAAGAAGCAGAGGAGATCGACGTTGATTTCAATTATTTAGACACATCAATATGTAAGTATACGTATAATAATTCAAAATACACTATAAAGGGTGAACAACTTAAGAGTCCTTGAGGCCTAGACGTTTTATCTCAACAGTATAAGTGTAAATATATTATTACAAGGGTTATTAGACGTATATATTTTTGCTTTTTTCAGGCAATTTAATAACACGTACGACGCTGATCGAGAAGTTATTCATAAATTTTAATATTAAAAATTTTATCAAAAGACCTTACACGTTATTTTATTATTTATTATTTTTTATTTTAGGTGCAATTTTAAGACTTTTTACTTTTGGAATTTCTCTTTAAACCTACTTGTTTAGGAGCTACAGCGTGTTAAACTTTGAAAAAAGCTAATGGCATAATGATTACAACCACACGGCAAGCTAACTTTCGTCAATGATTTTGCTTTGAATGCGATTACTTCATTTTTTTTTTTTTAGATTTTTGTGATTTATTATTTTATTTTATGAACAGAAATATTTTTTTCGATTAGTAAACCTTCATTCGATTCTTATTTTATATCTTTTTATGCAATCAGCAAGTTTGGTTGGTTCGGTTAGGTTATGACGATTTAATTTGATAATTAAAAAATTATAAAAATATTTTATAATTTTTCATTATTTTACTCTCTTATCGTCAGTTTTAAAAATTATTACAATACTATAGTAAAACATTTTAGGATTGGGCGAAGGATTATTTTTTTTATTCAGCTAAGAGGTTACCAATTCCTAGGCTAAATATGCGGCGTAGAAGTGGCCTTGCTGCAACTTAAAATTCTGTAACTATATGATTTTATGAAAAAATATATGTGATCACTTAAAGAGTACTTTCTTAAGAAACCTTCTTATACTTATACTATGGTAAAATCGATAAATTAATAAAGATGTTATATAAATTCATAAGCTTTATGTTCTTGTTTTAGCTCGTACGGCATTTTACTTTGAAAAACAAGATTTTCAAACAGCAGGGACCTACGAACTTTTACGTAAGTAATATTTCAAGGACTTTATTTGAAGAACATACAAATTTTAATTAATATAGTTGATTAAATTTAATTTAATTAAGGGAAAGTTATATATATATATATATATATATATATATATAAGTAGATATATTCATGTCACTTCTGGGCCAAAAAAGGAGCCACTCAAAAATTAAATGAATTTTCCTATTTTTTTATACAATATGCTATATTTTTTACCCTTTTAGGTCAATTTCTAACATATTCATATTTTTCTAGAAAAAGTATATAATTTTGATGAAATTTTCATGAATATGTCTATATTTTACATAAAATTGACTACAAAACAAAATGTTTTTAAAAACAAGTAAAATTTTAAAATTTAATTTTTATACAAATTTAACTAAAACAGTTTCTTTATCTTTGAATGTTTTAATTTCAGTAATAATTAAGTTTAAATCTTTTTTATTTAATTCTTTAATTGTTTTTCATCAAATATATTAATAAATCTATGAGGTAAATGAACTTTACATTTTTCTAATTCAACAATAACTGTTGGTCCATATTTATCTTTAACTTTTTCAAATTTTTCTATTTTATATTTTGTATTCAATTCTAAACTTTTTATTGGTTTATATTCTTTGAATTTACATTCTCCAATATTATTAATCTCTTCTAATAGATCCATTTATTACAAAAAATAATTATAAAAATTTTAAACAGTAAATAATTGAAATATATGAAAAGAATTTTAAATATCACACAACAGTTTGTTAGAACTGTTGTGTGATATTTAAAATTATATTTTTTTTAATAATATCTGATGTATCACTTATGTTATCAGAAAAACCATTATGTTCATATATTATGCATGGATCATTTAAAGTTGATAGATGTTTTAAGAATTTTAAAAAAATATTATCAAATTCTGGTTTTATATAAAAATTTAATTCTAAAAGTTTAAAAATCATTGGTAATAGTTTTTTAAATGATATATTTCTTTTTGTAAAACTGAAATATGCATTAAAAATTACTGTAATATTTCTTTTATCTTCAAAATTTAATTCAAAATCAATATTGAATATTTTGTTTAAGAATTGATAGTAAAATATCCAGTTTGTATAATTTCTTTGTTTTAAGAATAATTTTATATTTTTAGGTGTTATTTCAAAACTATTGTCTAAAATACATAACGTATAGATTTCATTGATTAATTGTTGTGTGCGATATGGTTGAAAATGATTAAATTCTCTTAAAATATTTATAAGATGTTTGTTTTTATTTTTTCGTTTATTAATCTTTTTTTTTCAAAAATAATTTTTTTACATATATTACATCCTATATAATTTTTTGTAATTGTAAAGTTATTAAAATTATGACATTTATAACATATATCCATTTATATATAAAATGTTTATATCTAAATGGAAGAACTTATTCAGTGTCATAAATGTAAGAAGAAAACTAAAAATATTAATCCAGAAATTGTTGAAATGAAGAATGGTTTGTTTAGAATTGCTACTAAATGTTCAATTTGTAAAACAAATAAAAGTAAAATAATTAAAAAGGAAATTAAACCAATAATAAAAAAGGAATTAAATAAAAAAGATCAAATAATTGAAGCTAAAGAAATTCATGCTCTAATAAGAAAAAAATTTCGAAAAAGAAAAATAGTTACATTAGGTATTGATGATTTATGGGCAGCTGATTTAATCATTATGAAAAATTATGAAAAAGAAAATGATGGTTATAAATACATGTTGAATGTTATTGATACATTTTCTAAATATGTTTGGTCAAAACCATTGAAGAAAAAAAATGGAAAACATGTATCTATAGCATTTGAAGAAATAATTAAAGATTCAATAAAAATTGGCCATAAACCACCAAACTTATTACATACAGACAAAGGATTAGAATTTGTAAATAAAGAATTTAATGGAATTTTAAAGAAATATAATATTAAAATGTATCATACAGAAAATGAAGAAAAATCAAGTATTATTGAAAGATATAATAGGACTCAAAATGAAAAAATGAAAGTTTTATTTGAAATTAATAAAAATTTTAGATGGATTGATATTCTTAAAGAAATAGTTAAAGAATATAATAATTCATATCATTCAACAATTAAAATGAAACCAATTGAGGTAAATAAAGAAAATGAAAATGATTTATTAAATACAGTTTTTAAATATATCCCACCAAAAATAATTACAAAATCTAAATTTAAAATAAATGATAGAGTTAGAATAGGAAACAAAAAATCAACTTTTTCAAATAAATATAAAAACAATTGGTCAAGAGAAATATTTGTTGTTTCCAGAATTAATAATACAAATCCTGTTACATATAGTATTAAAGACTTGAATGATGAAGATATACTTGGTAGTTTTTATGATTATGAATTGAAGAAAACTAATTTGTAAAATTTTATACTATATAAATGGAGAAGGAATGTTCAAAGTGTAAACAATTAAAAAATATTAATAATTTTTATAAAAATAAAAAATATAAAGATGGATTACTTTCATATTGTAAAGAATGTGATTTAATTTATAGAAAAAAGTTATATGATAATATTATAGTAGAAGAAAAAAGTGAAAAAGTATGTTTGAATTGTAAGGAAACAAAAGATGTGGAAAATTTTCATAAACATTATTATAGTAAAGATAAAAAATTTGCAATTTGTATTGAATGTGTTAGAAAAATGATGAGAGTCACAACCCATTGTGAATGTGGTAGAGATTTAAAATGGCTTAGTTATCTTCAAAAACATTTACAAACTAAAATTCATAATAAAAACATAAATAAATTAGAAAATTCATAAAAATAATATTAATTTTTGAAAGTATTATTTAAAAAAATTACTGGTTTTAAAAAAGTTTAAGTTTTATTTAAAATACTTTATAATTTTTAAATTAACACATAAATATTTATCTTAATATTTATATTTTACAACAATAATTTTTTCAAATAAAATTATTCTTAATAAGTCGTGCACATTTTTCTTCTAATAAATGAAGCGTACAAATAAAAATATATTATGCCCTTATTGTAATAAGAATATATTATCTAAAAATTATAATAGACATTATAATTCAAAGAAACATTTTGAAAATAAAACTAAATATGAAACTGAAGTTAATAAATTAAAACTTTGGTGTAAACAAAATAAAATAGTTGATTATCAAAACGAAAATTTAGATCAATTAAAAGAATTAAAGAAGTCATATGATCCAACAAATTATTCACTATTTAACAGTGAAAAATTAAAAGAAATTGCTAACAAATTATCTGTTAGAAATGTTGACAATTTAAATAGAGATGAACTAATTAAAAGATTAAATAATATCAAACAAAATCCTAATAATCTAAAATATAGATCATTACAATTTATTCAAAATCTATCAATTAAAAATGGTATTAAAATAAAAGATAAAACTAGAAAAGAATTGATTGGATTATTAACTGATCATTTAAAAAATAAACCAATTCCAAAGGAAAATGTAATAAATATTCAGGAAGTGTCATCATTAAAAGGTTATTTTCAAGAGTATTATTTAACAAATTCAAATGATGATTTAGATATATCTGAATATTTAGAATCACAAAGAAATGAAATTAAAAAATTGATTGAAAAACAAGAATTTAAAAATAAAAGAGGTCAGTTATCATTATCTTGTGAATATGAAAGACAATTAGTAAATGGTGATAGTCAAAAAACCCAAATGTATTATCCTTTAAGAAGTTCAGATATATTAAACACTGATGAATTTATTGATGATCAATTTAAAAAATTAATATTAAGAGAAAATTTAAATCAACCATCAAAAGGATCTGGTTGGTCATTAAAAAGATGTTTAGATTTAAATTTAAAACTAAGTAAACATAATTCATTAAATGGTGGTTCATATGTTGAATTACCAATTGAAATAAAAAATAAAAAGTGTTGTATAAATTTCAAAAATAAAGATGAATATTGTTTTATTTATGCAATTAGATGTGCTATTGATAAATATGAAGATAAAAAGTTTGATCATCCACATAGAGTAAAACAATATAAAAATTACTTGAATGATGAAATTTTTAAAGAATTTGATTATCCAATGAGTTTAAAAGATATAAAATTATTTGAAAAAAGATCATTTGATTCTAAATATAATTATCCATCCATGTCAATTAATGTATACAGATTTGATGAAGATAAAAAGATTGTTCCATTACAAATATCTGAAAATTACAATGCGAGATTAGATATTGATCTATTGTATATAAAAAATGATAATAATTCACATTATGTTTTGATAACAGATTTAAGTAAATTTGTTTCTACTCAATTAACAAAAAGTAACAGACATAAGAAATTCATTTGTAGAAGATGTTTAACACATTTTTACAAAAACAAAGATTTAAGTGAACATTTAATAACTTGTAAATCTCTTGAACCTTGTCGACCAATTTTGCCATTTCCTGGTGAAACTGTTAAATTTGAAAATTATTGTAAAAAACTTGAACATCCTTTTGTAATTTATATGGATTTTGAAAGCATTCTGAAAAAGATTAATACTTGTGAAAATAATCCAAACAACTCATATACAAATAAAATTCAGAAACATATACCTTATGGATTCACAATTTATTTAGTTTCTAGAGTGACTAATAAAATATATAAACCAATTTGTTATAGAGCAAAAACAGATGAAGAAATGAAAAATGTACCAAATAAATTATTTGAATACTTAGATGAGATTTCAAAGTATATAGCTAAAAAATATAATTCGAAAAACAAAAAGCCTATGAGTTTAACTAAAAATGAAGAAATTGAATATCATAAAGCAAGTGTTTGTCATATTTGTGAAACTAGTGGTTTTGATAATGATACAAGACGAAAGGTAAGAGATCACTGTCATTTAACAGGAAAATTTAGAGGTGCAGCACATTCAAGTTGTAATTTAAATCTAAAATTTCCACAAAATATACCTGTGTTTTGTCATAATAGTTCAAACTATGATACACATTTG